TACGCCCTGATAGACTGCTTGTCCTCCTTTCTTTTTAAAATTTCATATGCTGAACAAAGCATTGACACTTGATTCAGTGGCAGTTGCATATGGGTTAAAAGGCACATTCCTTTCCTGTTTGATGCTGATATTATTTCAGATGCTGTTTTTTGTTTGTTTTTAAAAGGTGTGGCAAGGTCTCACCATGTAGTTCAGGCCACATTGAACTCATTATGTAGCCCAGCCTGGTCTCGAATTCACAATAATCCTCCTGCTTCAACCCCCCAAGTGCTAGGATTACAGGCACGCACCACTATGCCTGGCTATTTCACATACTTCAAAGATAAATTATAAATCTATGTGAGTCATTAGGCTAAAAAATGCAGTTTGATTATTTCCCATTTTCTTTAATCAGTTGGTTTCAGATTATGCTGACTTATTTTTGAATTTACAGGTTTGCCTTGTTTTAAGTAAAACTGATGGACAAAATTGAAAATGTAGAAGCCACATTAAAAGCCTCGCTTTTTTTTTAGGTGGGAAAGTGACAGTGTTTTTTGAGTGGGGCCTATGGTGCACAGGCCAGTCTCAACGCCTGGCCTTAGTGGTTCTCCTACCTCAGCCTTCTGAGTAGCTAGACTAAGGTGTGTGCCACTATACTCGGGCCAGCAGGTGAAACTCTTATATTGCAATGAATCCCTTTATGTAATGGACTCCTTTAGCCATGGTAAGTAACATTTCTACTCTGTATACAGCTTTGAGAAGTGTATCTGTCCATAATGTATATTTTAATTCCAGATGTTTTATGGCTAATTGATCACAAAATCTGGCTAGTAAATAGCTCTTTCCTGTTTGAGTTTCCATCTCCTTTTTCACTTGGCATCATCTGGGATTTTAATTTGAGGACTATCAGTCCTTTCACTGATGTCACAGTTGAAGAGGCTACCAAGCCTGTTGGCTCCCACTGGGACCTTCCCTACCTCTGAGGCCTTTATCACTTGATTATCACTCTCTGCTTAAATTTACTCCCACTGATTTAAAGTCGTTTGATCTCGTTAATCTGAGTCCATCTGAATTAATGTTTCAGAGAAGACCCTAGGAGGTCTGCGGTCAGATGCTTTCTGAGGGTATTGTGGCTGTTAATTTAGATACTCAGTAAAGCCCCATTTTTTTCTAAAATGGCTGAACATTTTATTGCTGACTTTATTACCTAATTTGCTATGCTCCTTTCTCTCTTTTATGTTACTGTTTTTTTAGAGATTTTTATTTTAGTTTCTTCTGAGAAATTAATTGTTGGTGTGCTAATAGGTTTAGTAACTACTCCCATTATACCTTTGTGCAACCTGAATCTGGATTATGATGAGATACAATTCTCCAGGTATAGATAGTTGTGTTAAAGGCTGTGTCCACAAAATATTATTACTTTCTAATGCACAACTTTGAAATTCATCTTTTTGAGGGGGGCTTGTTTGTTTTATGAGACAGAGTCTCACTAGGTAGTCCAGGTTGGCTTTGAATTTGAATTTGTTATGTTGCCTATGCTAAACTTGAATTTCTGATCTTCTGCCTCAGCTTTCTAAGTGCTCACACTATGGGTATGTGCCATCATGCCTCTCTTCTGATTTCATTTTTGTTAAAAATTAGATTTTCGATGGCCAGATTAGTATTTCAACATTTACTATTGTGTCTTTAATCTATTTAATTTCTTTTTCTTTTTTTTTTTTTTTGCAGTACCAGAGATAGAACTCACAACCTCATGCTTTCCAGGCAGGCGCTTATGCCACTGAGCTAAATCCCCAGCCCTTTAATTTCTTCTTTTAGATACGCCTTTTAGTTTCTTAAAGGTTACTTAGGTAGAATAATGTCCTCATATCTGATTCGCTAACTTTTGCACTGTATTCCAAGTTTCAGTTAAACGTCCTCTTCTCTCTTCCCAGCTACTGATTCTTTTTTTTTTTTTAATTTTATTTAAGGAGGAAAAAAAAATCAGAAAAAGGGTACAAGTTATACAGAATCTCAGAAAAAACAAACAGTAGGAAATCACTAGCTAACAGATTACATACTGTCATCTTAGAAATAGCAGTTCAAGTTACAAAATCAAAGCATACAAAGTGGACGTTCAAACAGTGAGACTGCAAACAGTTCTGTTCAATGATCCAACAAAACTCAGTAATATGGTTGTAATATCGTTATCTATCTTATACACTTAAATATACATGCAGTTATATCCTTTAGAGCACTGTCTTTTCCTCTCTTTTGTACGATGACAATTGCACATTTTGGGTTTTATTACTCCCACAGTTCTTATTACTTTTTTTGAAGAAAATAAAACCAAATGTGACGTAACAAAACAGAGTCAGTCAAATTAAGGATGGACTTAATACATAATGTAAAAACAGAATACAAGGGGATCAACAATGGTTACCATAATGCCTCTCGCTATCTTAAAAAGAATTGCCTATATCATCAGTTATAATAAAATTGAACAAAGCAGTAAAGAACAAAACCAACAAAACCAAAACATTGGAGACATTACAGGACTTCAAAAGAAGACAATAGTCAAACCAGAATGGGTGCCATAATGAATCTTATTGTCTTCACAGTTGTTGCCTATACTCTCGAACTTGGTAGTATCAAGCAAGAGAAAATTCAGTCAAAACAAGATGGTGAGAGCAATACAAGGTTTTAAATCAAGTTAATAGGAAATCAAAGTGGGTTACTATAATATATCCTGCTATTTTTTATTTTTCCTTTAATTACAAAGATAAAAATAAAAAAGTAAATAATAAAAAAAGGAGATTGAGATAAAAGAGGACATAACAAACAACACAGGTCAAAACATAACCATTTAAGTAAAATAGTGTTTCACCACAAGATATCCTGACATAAAAGTAGTTACCATAGTGTCTGTTTCCTTGAAATCTTTGAGTATAACTTCGTATACTAGCTACTGATTCTTTTACCCTACATTTTTTTGAGAGGTTGCTTCCTAGCCAAATATCCTTCCTTTCACAACTCTTATTATTACCAGAATTCATGATTTTCCAATGAACTCCTGATTTCCCACCCTGCATAATGTTTATTGTTTCTTTGTGCAAACGACCAGAATGTGTTTGAGTGCTTCTTTTTTTTTTTTTTTTTTTTTGTCTTTTTCTTTTTTATCGGTACTGGGGATTGAACTCACAACTGCCTGCTTGCAAGGCAGGCGCTTATGCTGCTGAGCTAAATCCCCAGCTCAGTGCTTCTTTTTAAAGCTCCAGTGAGTTGTGTCTATGAGTTGCACAACTGCTTGTCATGCAAAGAAGATGCAAGACTTTGAGACACAGGTGCAACTCTTGGAATGTGTTAATAAATAATCAAGCTCTGGTATTCTCTGAAGGGAGGAAGACAGTGTAAGATCACAGGAGGGAAGTGGAGGCGGGAGCTGAAGCCCAGGGTTAGACGTGGTTCTGCCACTTGCTCCTCTGTGATCTTGAGCCACTCAGGGAGCCTGGTTCATCTCGTCCCCTTGGGAAGAGTGACTCCTTCTCTGCCTGTCTTATGTTCATGACTGTCCCAGGAAAGGCGCTAGGGGATTACAGTGTGCTCCCGGCATCAAAGGCTGTACCCACACATCAAAGGCCTGTGCTAGAGGCGAGTGGCAGGGACAAACTCACTCTGTGGAACCTAGAGTGTAGGAGGGAAGCCAGATCACAGAGAAGTACGCGGTGAGCAATTACACATCAGGGCAAGTGCTAGAACAAAGAAGATTTCATTGCATTGGATTTGAAGAGGGAGCACTTAAATGATACTGAGAAGCAGAGGGCAGTGGAACATGCCTGTAATCCTAGCAGTGAGGGAAACTGAGGCAGGAGACTCACAGATTCAAGTTCTGTTTGGCAAGACACTGCCATAAAAAAGGGGGGCTGGAGGTGTAGCTCAGTGGTAGAGCGTCCTTGGGTTTGATTCTCAGTACTGTAAAAGATGCTGAGAATAGTGTGCTGGTCTGTGATTCTGATACAACCCCTAGAGTAGAATTACAACTGAATGTTGTAATTACCTGAGGAGCATTCCTTAACATGCAGATTCCTGGGCCCACCTGTGGGAGGTCTAGTTTAGTAGGACTGTGATCAGATCCTAGAACATATACTTTATAAAAGCTTTCTTGCTGGTGTCACTGCCTTGTCAGGCTTGGAAACTATTGGCCTGCAGATATCTTAGCCGGAAACAAGTTTCCTTTGGAAGGAATGACTATGGTTTAGCCTTAGCATTTGCTTCTCATCTGCTTTCACTAGCTCTTTCACCTCATTTCTGAAACTTCTGTGATACAGCCCTCTGGCTCCCCGGAGTAGTCATGGAGCTGGTTCCCATTTGGCAGTGGGTTGCATCACATGCAGGGAAACTAAGATGTTGCTGTTCAGATGAGCATAAAATTTGTGCTCCTGGTCCGGATATTGGAACTCTGGCACAACTGTGTGCATTAAGTTAATTGCCGTACACTCGCATTTGAAAGTCTAAAGGCATTTTGTAACTTTACTCCCATGGAAAACATGGAAACTAAGCCTGAAGATTCTAACCACCACCATTCATTGCATCGCGACTCATTTTAAGATATTTTGTATCTAATATAATTGAGTGATTTGAACTATGGAAGTAGAACCAGCTCTTCCCTTGGAATCACAGAGTCCGTACATCTCCATTTTGAGACCTGGGGACAAGGAACCAGGAGCTACCTCTTTTCTTTTGCTCCTTGCAGGGGATTTCCACGGAAGCCAGTGGTGATATATTTGAGAACACAGAGTAGCTACTGGGACTTACCAGTGAGACGCTTTTTTCCCCGTTTTTTTTAGAAATCCTGTTTTGCTCCAAACTGTATTTTTAAAGAGCTGGTTGGTACCAGTCCAACAGTGTGGGGACCTGGTAGGGTGAAACTAAGGACAAATAATCTTTCAAAACATGATTTGCCAGCTTGTGCTTCAGTGGAGAATGGTCTGGATATTCTCTGTCTCTGTTTCTTTCTGTCTCTGTCCCTGTGTCTCTCTGTTTCTCATAAGGACAGAGTGAAGATCTTTTAACAAGGCTTCAAGGAGGCACACTTCAATTGCATGACAACCCACTCATCACCCTTACAAGCCATAAAAAGGCTAGAGGAGCATCCTTAGCTGTCTAGGGTGTGTGCTTAAAGCCACCTTTGTGCCCAGTGGCTGCTGCCTTTGGTGTGACCAGTGCCTGAAGGATGGCTGGCCTGGCCTTCTCTGGTGAGGATATGTTAACACCTCATTTCTAGACATACTTATCTTCCTAAAGCCCTGGGTGACTGGGAAACTCATCTCCTTGAACCTTGTAGAAGCTAAGGTCAAGGCCCCCCCCCCTCCCCCAGCACCTTCAGGTGGGCTCGGACCTTGTGGGTACAGCTTAGACAGGCGGGTTCACTTTGTGCTTGGCTTCCCTCAGTTTTTTCCCAGCACTGGCAACTCCTGGAGTTGAGGAGGGCAGCCTCTGCCTGAGGGGTGCTGAAACCCTTTCCTTGATTTTCTTTGATATGCTGAAAAGGCTGCACCCTGAGAAATGAATTCATGCCTGCTAACAGAGAACATCTGGAAATCAAGTCAGAAAACACAAGAAGCCCACGACTTAGTTGATATTTAAGGTATAGGTTTTAGAGCCTAACAGAACAGTATCTTACAATGAAACTTTTTACCAAATGTTATCCCATTGTCCATTCAGTTTATAGAACATGAACATAGATAAAAATGAGTGCATACAAAACAATCCTCCAGAGTATTCTCAATATTAAAATTAATTGAATTTTCTGCATTAACATTGGAAATATAATCAAGTGATTAATTCATAGTGAAAAAGTGCGTGTGTGTGTGTGTGTGTGTGTGTGTGAATGTTCCTTATTTTGAAGGAAGCAGGCTTTATAGAGACAGCCTTAACTGTTCTAGGGTAACTTTTTCTTAGCTGTACTAGATGGTAAAATGACCCCCAAGTTTGTTGGGGTAGCTGTTAAGCTGATTAATTCTCAATGGGATGTTGTGTGTTAATTAGAGCTTTGGTTTTTCTGGAGGGAATGCTACCATATATGATAATTCTAACTCTAAAGAAACTTGAGAAATTAGTCCTTCCTCCTGTCAAATACCTAAAGTACCCTAAAAGAACTGCTCACAAATAACTGAGCTCTAGAATTTTGTAGATTATATTTTTCTTACATATGACCTAGGCAGTAGTTCAGATATACTATAGGGAATGTTAGGATTACTTGGAGAATTTGCTGAAGCTTACATTCCTAGGCTCAGCCTTGTGGGTCCAAGGTAGGGCTTGAGAAGTTGCATTTCTAACAAGTGTCCAAGTGGTGCCGATGCCATGGTGTGGTGACAGTTTCCATAGACTACAGGATACTGGTTTCAAAGGCTTTATTCAACTGTTTGATTAATTAATGCAGCATTTTATGATTTGTGCTTTTCTCAGACAGTGTTTTAGGAATGAGGGATTACAGTGATGCACAGGACAAAATTTTTTGTTTCTAGGAGCTCCTGACTTAGTGCAAGAGGCAGAAAATAGACCATGTGATGTTTGCCAGATATGAGGGCTTTGTAGAGAAAGAACACAGGAGGGCACTTTGCAGGAGAGTGGTGGTCAGGAAGCTCTCTGAGGTGTGACTCCACTGGGCAGTGGCAGGTCCTAGGGCCTAAGAGGAAGAAGCTGGGTGTGTTCAAGCTCAGCTCAGGAGGAACTAGTCTTGTAGGAAGAGAGGGAAAAAGTAAGGGATTGGGGTCAGAGTGGGCCGCAGAACACTGATAAGTCACATACAAAAGCATTCTTATGGCCAAATAAGTTTAGGAAATGCTGCTCTCAATAACACTAAATATATTTTGTTAGCCTTTTGTATTAGTTTGTCTTCTGTTATCACAACTAGGATCCGATGAGGACTGGTTAAACCCTTTGGAGCCCCAGTGACCTAATAACCCCCCACTAGCTCTGTAGAGCTTGAGCAAAGGTCCTAACACATGTTAACATCACCATCTGGAGAACCAGCTTCTAACACAAGACCCTTCTGGGGGACAAACCACATCCAATCCTTAGCTGATATCCATTCCTGGAGAGAATAAGACATTGATTTCTCATGAGTTTACATGACCATGAAACTTTTAATCCCACAACGATCTCCAAGACTGGTATTCTCTGAAATCCACATGAGAAATCTTAATCTAGTGGGTCCTGCTCCCTCATTTTCTCACTAAAGAAATTGAGGACCAGAGAAAGTAAGTGACTTGTCCAACATAGTCAAGTTCATGTGATACAGGAGTTAGAAGGTACCTTGATTTGGAGGTGGGAGCTTAGGTTTGGAGTTTGCTCGACGTTGTCTTGGTGTATAACAAGGGGCCTGTGGGTCTGAATTAAATAATGGGGCTGTGCTATGTGCTTTTGAGGTGCCTTTGAGTCACGGAGAGCAGATGACCTTTTATTTTTTTGTCAATTTCCTTTGACTATGGAATTTGTTGTGTTAGCTGAGCTAGAGGAAAAACATTGGAAGAAGCCATAACTATATTCATCAGATACCACCATCTAGGTTATTTGTTGCTTGCAAATGAGTACATTTCTCAGACAAGTAATTAAAATAAAATCTGTCAGAGAATGTAAAACTGTAAATCGTAGAATGTTGGTAAGGAAAATAGGAATGTGTAAAGACTAAAATCTATGGTAATATACTTTGCAACAAAAATATTTTATCATAGATTTCCATTTTTATGAAATTCAGTTGATTTGAATACAAACACTAAATCTTTCAACAAGTGAAATTTATCATTTTCTTGTGTGCTTTCTGGATAATGATTGAATAATAATAAAAAGATCAGACTCTTAGGAGCTAGAGTTACTTTGAAATGGTGTTTTCTAGGCCTCATTTTCTTTGTTACGGAGGGATTCAAAACATTTGTTAATGTCCTTATAGCTCTACTAGTTTGAAACATCTATATTTGACAATTTGTGTCTTAAAGGGATGTGGGTGGGCTGGAGGTGAGCTCAGTGGTACAGTGCTTGCCTACCATGTTCAGTCCCCAGTTTCTCTCTCTCTGTCTCATACACACACACACACATACACACGCCCTGTTTATCTTAGTATTGTAGACCTAAGGATCCCAGGAACTCCAGATATGAAATCAGAGGTGTTGCCAGGCATGGATTTTTCCTCATTTTGCCCCAGAGTAGGCATCTTAGTCACTTTCTCATTACTGGGACACAATACCTGATAATTACAATTTAAAAGGAGAGGTTTGTTTTTGGCTCACGGTTTCAGGCCATGGTCATATGGCTCTAAGGTAGAAATGGCATGGGGAAGGGAATGGACGAAGAAAACTCCTCAACTCGTGACAACCAAGAAGGAGAGAAGGGGGAGCTGGGAGGGATGTATCCTTAGGTCACACCTCCAGTGGTCCCCCTCTTCTGACCAAACCCCACATCCAGACAGCACACTCAGCTACTGGACTCGTCAATACATGAGTCCACTGATGAACATAGCACCTTTGTGATCAATCACCTTCCACACAGAGGGGAATTTTGGGGGCTATGTAGATGGAAACCTGAACAGTGTAGCAGTGTTCTTCTTGCTTGGCCCCTTGTGGCTGGGTGGGACCATTTGAGAAGTTCTGGCCAGTGAACCTTGGAAAGTCACAGTCCATTTTCAGGTCACAATATATGACTGCCCAAGGGCAGAGCCCTCAGAACTCCCTGTTACTCTGCTGCAGAAGTGGCAGCATTCTGGTGCTGTTCTGGAATCAGAAATAGTAGAAAAGGTCCCCAGATGACCCTTGGGTGAAATTACAAATTATGAATCAGGAATGAGCCTTTGTGGTTAGAAATCCTAAAATGTTTTGGGCTACTTGTTACCATGACAAAATGTAGCCTATCTTGACAACTGAGTTTCTTTAAAAATTATTTTTTTATGTATTTAATGTGGACAGTGGCATATACTTTTTTGGGGGACAAATTATACTGAATACACTGGGGGTATTCTTATGTGTTTCCCACAGTTTTTATTAGTGCCTATGTAAAGATTAATGGGTTCCACTTTGGCAGATTTGTACCTAGATGCAATTTACTTTATTATTTTTTTTTTTTCTTTTTAGCCCAGGCTGGTCTCAAACTCAACAAAATCCTTCTGCCTCAACCTCCTGAGTGCTGGGATTACAGGTGTGCACCACCACACCTGGCTACTTTATTAGTTTAAACCCGCCCCCAGTTTCACACGTTTTTGGTGGGTTTTGGTGGGTGTGTGGAATGTATTTTGATGATATTCATGCCCCCTGTTACCCACCCTTATTCCCCCCACCTTGCCCTTCTACTTTTCCTGTTACTTGTTTTGGTTTTTGGTTGGGATCTTGCTGTTCTGCTTAGGCTGATATTGAACTGACAGGCTTAAGCTACCCTCTGTCTCAATCTCCTGAGTGCTGTGACTAAGACATGAGCCATTACAGTCAGCTTAATATACTGTTTTACAATGATTGTTTTCTAATTATAAAGCAACCTAACTCGCAACTCAGTACTAACAAATTTGGTACCCCCCTCAAAAAAAATAAGTAAATAAAAATCACTCAGAATCCTGCTACCCGGCAATGATCACTCTACACTGAGTATGTTCTTCAAGTGTTTTTCCTATGTCCATATTAATCAATGAGGAAGGAGGGGGAGAGAGAGAGGCATGGCTAAAATTTATGGACGTAACAGTCGGATGTAACCATCTGAAGCAACATTCAAAGCTCTTGACATATATATATATATATATATATATATATTTTTTTTTTTTTTATTTTATTTAAGGAGAAAAAGAAAAAAAAAACAGAAAAAGGGTACAAGTTATACAGAATTTCAGAAAAAATAAACAGGAAATCACTAGTTAATAGATTACATATTGTCATCTTAGAAATAGTTGTTCAAGTTACATGATTAAAGCATATAAAGTGGACATTCAAACAGTGAGACTGCAAACAGTCCTGTTCAATGATCCAACAAAACTCAGTAATATGGTTATCTATCTTATACACTTAAATATACATGCAGTTATATCCTTCAGAGCACTTTCTTTTCCTCTCTTTTGTACAATGACAATTACTCATTTTGGGTTTTATTACTTCTATAGTTATTACT